CTCCATGGCTGTACCCTGGGCTCTTTGCTCCATGTGTCCTCAGTGCCAAGCTGCCAGAGGCACTGCCCAGGCCGGGCAGGAGACGAGCCAGGAGCCCGAGGAGCCAGGACCCCCCTCTCCTTGCACATCGTATTTCTCCTACTAGCTCAGCAGCGGAGCCCTCTCCGCTCGGTGATGCTGCACCAGCCCGGTCCAGCTCCCCTTCCCCAGGCCTTGGAAGCTGCCACCTGGCAGCAGAAGCCAGGCCCAGGCCGGGCGCCCATCTCCTTGTGCCCGGCTCCGCTGGCAGGTACAATGGGCGGCTTGTTGGGCCTATTGACACGGGGCCGCCGCGCTGGCCTGTACCTGGCTGCCGGTGGGTTGGCAGGACGCTGGGCTGGAGCTGTTTGCGTTAGCAACACTCCTGGAGCTGGGCACAGAGCGCCCGCACAGGGCTGGGGTTCCCGCCCGCTCCCTTCGTGTTGGAGCCAGGCTGGGCCGCCTGCCACCCAATGACCGAGGCCCTCAGGCGGCAGAATGGGCAGGGGGGACCTTGCATTTCTGTTTGGATTAGTCAGCTAAGCTGTAAAGCAAACAGGGCTGCTTCCCCCTCCCCATGGCCCGGCCGCCAGCCCATCCTTCCCAGCCAGCTACTGGGGGCGTGGGACAGATGGAGGGGGCTGGGGAGGGTCAGTGACTGGGTAGAAGCAGGGGTTGTAGGGAGGCTGCGGGCATGGGGGGAGGCTGCTCATTGAGTGGCAGGCATGCTACCAGGGTCAGGTATTGGGAAGGGGGGTGCACACCTCGGGGGGCGAGGAGGGCTGGGCAGTGCCTAGGGGGAGGGGGCAGGTCAGGGAGCAGGCAAGCAGCTTGGAAAGGCCCTTGTTCCTTGAAGCAGGTTACAACAGGTGGGTGCCCCTCGTGCCGGGAAGACACCATGGATTTGTGGCATTGTTGAAAGCTTGTGTGCCTGCCGTTGTTGGTGTGCATTGCGTAACACGAAGACCTGCTCTGCGTAAACTCGCCGAGGGAGAGACTGAAAGCTCCCAGCGGGCAACGTGGTGCAGATTGTTCACCCCCGACGCGCTCGCCCCCTGCGTCAGCGTCCGGGTGGGGAACTTGTGGACCAAATTGAAACAGAAGATGGAGACCGCGTCATGCCCAGTGGTGTGTGCCGGTTATGCCCCGGTAAAGTTCTGGGCCAGTTCCTGGCACTTCTACCAGAAATCCAGCAGTTTCTCGCTCAGAAATCTCAAATGTACCCAAAGTTAGAAGATGAAAACTGGATTTTGGATGTGACTTTTCTCATCGCCATCACTAGTCACCTGAACGCGTTGAACGAGTCGTTGCAGGGGGAAAATCACCTCCTGCCTGCACCAACTGCCAGTGTCAGAAAATGCATCTGCACTCGCAGTTAATGTCAACTCAGTTACCTCCATGTGACTACACGCACGGCCCGCATCTGAAACGAATGCTCGCCAGACACTGATCGAGGAACGGAATCTGATCCGCCAGTTCACCCCAAGTGCTGGCTACACTGGCAGAGCGTTTCGAGAGCCTCTTGTCTTCTCTGAGCGACCTGAAGCTCTGCCTCTCTGCGCCCTCCAGTCCACTTGCATTTGATCGGAGTGAACGGGGAGCGGTACGTCCGAGGCTTGGGGGTGATAAAAGGAAGTTTGAGGAGGAATTAATTCATGTCCATGCCCTGGACGAAGACGGAATTAACCAGCTAAAGAGGAAAGGTTTACGAGAACGATGGAGCAATACCCTGGTCTAGTTCTCCCTCATGCACTGCAAAGCTCATGTCAATCTTTGGCTCAACATACACATGGGAGCCGAATTTTTCTGCTACGGGCTGGACGCATCAAATGCAAGAAGCGCAGCAGCCGAACGGCTGGAACCCTCGGTACCACCTGGCGAAGCGTCTGCACGTCCCTTACGCCTCATCTCAGCAAGCGCGTGGAGGGCAGAGCCACCAGAAGTCACACCGAGCATGAGGTAGGTCAGCGTAAATATTTCTGGTTTTACTATTAGAAGTTGGTGACAGTTCTATGAACGATTAAGCATTTCGATAACTTGCTATGAAACATTCGGGCTCTATTAAATGTATTTAATCTTAGTCATGGGGTCATGGTTAGTGCACATGCCCAATTTCAAGCTTGCGGCCCACTGAGATGAAGGAGGGCTACTCATGCAGCCCACGCACTAGCCTAGGTTGCCCATCACTGGGCCAGAGGGACCCGGAGCTGCCGTGACCTGGTGGTTCCTGGGAGGAGAGCCAGGGGAGCTCAGACTGACTTGTTTCCAGCCCCTCAGCTGAACAGAACCCGACTCTTCCAGCCTTCCTGACTGGCGCTGATTATGCCCTTCCTCCACCTGGCCCCTCCAGGCCTGCCCCACTTGCCTCACCAGCCCCGGCCGGGGGTGCATGGGCCGACAGGCCATTTCCCAGGCTTGGTGCCAGAGGGACGGGGTAGCTGGCTGGAAAGGGCCCCAACCCTCACCCTGCAGGTACAAAGCACCTGTTCTCCCACCCTCACTCATTGCCACATGCAGCCGATTGAATTCGCACTTGCCCTTGGGCTGGAGCTCTGCACAAACCTCTCCCCCCGTGCCAGAGCCCCCTGCTCTACGTGCACGAGGACACACGCAGGCCACAGCAAGTGTACGGGGGCCAGGCAGGAGTTGCTGGACAAAGGGCTCCTGTTCACGAGCCCCCACCAGGCCCAAGCAGCCTCGCCCAGGGTCAAAGGCTGAGTCTGGGCCGGTGTAAACCCCCTGCCTAAGCGGGAGAGAGCACTTGCGGCCAGTGATGGGGTGGGGGTAAGTCATGTCTGGGGCAGGGTTTCTAGATGCACCATTAGCCCACCACAGCCAGAAGCTTCTGGAATTGGGTGTGAGAGTTCTGGGTGTGCCCAACAGGGTCCCGTGACCAGACTCAGACTCCAGCAGGGCAAGCGGGCAGGGCAGGAGCTTTGCAAAAGGCCCCAGTGGGCTGGGAGAAGCCGAGCCCAGGAGCAGGAGCTTTCCCCAACGCTGAGCCTTTTACAACAGGGCTTTTTTTTAAAAAAAACACTTCTCTGTACTTAACTGAGCAGTTGGTCAATCAGCGAGCTGGCTGGCTACCCGGGAGCTCAGCAGAGGGCGACGCTCTATGGATCCCAACAAGCAACGGGGAGGAAGATGTTCCTGTGACAGTCAAACTTTCTATTCACACAAAACCCAAGACCCCTGACCCCCCACCCCCACTCCCTCTGCCGCTCACTCTCCCCACCCTCGCTCACTCACTCATTTTCACTGGGCTGGCTCAAGGGGTTGGGGTGTGGGAGGGGGTGAGGGCTCCGGCTGGGGGTGAGGGCCAGGGATGAGGGGTTTGGGGCGCAGGAGGGTGCTCCAGGCTGGCATCAAGGGGTTCAGAGGGTGGGAGGGGAAATCAGGGCTGGGGCAGGGGGTTGGGATGCGGGAGGGGGTCAGGGGTGCAGTCTCCGAGCGACGCTTACCTCAGGCAGCTCCCGGAAGCAGCAGCATGTCCCCCCCCCCGGCTCTTATGCGGAGGTGTGGCCAGGAGGTTCTGCGTGCTGCCTCGTCTGCAGCCACCGCCCCTGCAGCTCCCAACCAATGGGAGCTGCGGAGCTGGCACTTTGGGCACGAGCAGCACATGGAGTCCCCTGGCTGCCCCTACGCCTAGGAGCGGGACCATGCCGCTGCTTCCAGGAGCCGCGCGGAGCCAAGGCAGGTAGGGAGCCTGCCTTAGCCCTGCTGTGCTGCCGACTGGACTTTTAATGGCCTGGTCAGCAGTGCTGGCAACCCTACTCGGCCGCTTGTAGAGATTTGGGGGTCAAAGACTAACTGAGACACAGCTGGACCCACTAAGCTTTTGGGAACTCTACATTTCTTCTCACTGGGTTGCTGTAGGGACCGGCCTGTTTAGATTTCATGTTTTCTTTCTTGATGTATCACTGCAGATAATGGATGTAGCTCATAAAGTAGCCATGTTATGGTGTAAAAATGAAGTTATCTTGTTTCTTTGCCATAAGATTTTATAAAATTGGTATTTAATTAAGTTCATTCCCTTCATTCTTTGAGGACGTGGATGTGGGGAAGTTGGCCCTGTGCAATCCTTGCCAAAAATCCTTAGAGACAATTCCGGGGCTCCGGCCGCGTTTCTAGGGGAGTTGGGGGTTTTTAGGGACTGGAGAAGGACAGTGAACTCTAGTCCACCCAAAGGTTACACCAGGCTCCCCCCTTGGGGCCGTGAAGTGCCCAGAAAGGAGCCCCGCTAATGCCTTCGTTATCATCCTGGATTCTTCCCATTCCCAGCAGCAGCCCCAGTGCTGGGGGCTGGAGGATGCAGGGGGGTTAGGCCACACACTGCCGGAGGAGCGGCCCCATAGCCCACCCCACGCACCCAGAGCCGAGACAGCATGGAAAACTTCCTGCAGGTTTCAGCGGTGCAGCAGGGCCTGGCGGAGCTGAGCTCCAGCCGCGCTAGGGGCTGCAGAGACACAGCGGGAGGGTCGGGCCCATCTTGACAAGGCAGACACCAGCGGTGGTCAGGGGGTGACTTGCCCATGGCCCCAGCAGCTGAGAGGCAGAGCTGGGCCTAGAACCCAGGGCCCCTGAGGCCAAGCCCCCAGCACCTCACCCTGGCTCAGCCCAGAGGTGGAAGGGCCATTGTGGGGCATGGAAGGGGAGCGGGATACCACGGCCCGTTCCGTCGTGAGCTTTGCAGCAGCTCTGCTGGCGGAGGGGGGCCAGCGGCCCTGTTAGGAGCTGGACCGAGGCCCACGCAGGCCTGCTGAGGGCCAAAGAGCCCTGCCAGGGCCCCTGGGGTGGGTCACCCTGAGTCTGGTTAAGGCGAAGGGCCATTCAGCCTCCCTCCTTGGCACATGGAGCCACCCCCAAGTTGTCAGCCAAGTCTTTGGCTGCGTGAGCTAACGGAGTAATTCCAGCAGCAGGGTGCAGTAGTAGGTTGTTATCTAATAGGCCAGCCACTGGTGGAAGGACAGAAGGACAGCCTCCACTAGTCAAAGCTTTATTAACAAGTCAACAAAATACACAAGAACACTTGCCTAGAACAGCATTTCCTGTTCAATAACCACTGTGCCAGCAGCAGGGGCCCCCCCGGGCCTGTGGGCAGATGGCCAGGAAGGGACTCAACTCACAGTTATGCCGGTGCAACCTGATCGGCTCAGTGCAGCTGAGCACAGGGCTGAGCCCGCTAGCTAGCAAGCCTGGCTGGGGCTAGAGGGTTTTAGTGCATTGAGCCACCAAGGGCTCTGCCCTGCAGCCTGCCAGCGTAAAGCAACCTCAGAGCAGCATGACCCTGCCCACCCCTCAGGAAGGGGCACGGGGGGGTATAGTGCAGACCCACCTCATGACATAACATCCCACGGAGGGGGCTGAAAACAGATCAACGATTAAGAACATGAGCTCGCCCTGAGAACCCCATGGAGAGCAGGCGAGGCCACCGGCCGGCTCACAGCCATGGCAGTCCGGGGCAGGAAGCCTGGCAGGGGCAAACCACTCCCTGCCCGCCCCATCTGGGCAGGTTTGTAACAGCAGCGGATGGGGATGGGGGAACTGGACTCAGTGCTGGGGAGAGACTTAGGCTGGACAGACAGACCGCCTGGGCGAGGCCCCAGCAGCCCCAGCCCCTTGGCAGACGGCTGGCATTCAGCACCTCCCCCAGGTGGCTGCCAATCCTCACCGGCTCCAGCACCTGGCAGGATGGGGCCCTCCGCCCCTCATGGGCCTGGCCTACAGAGCGCTTCCCGCTGCAGTATCCCGGCCCCAGCACGGGGCTGGGACGCTCTGTCTAGACCTGTTCCCAGTACCGTCACTGGGCACGGCGTGCCATGCTCCCTGAGCTGCCGGTCCACAGGGAGCCTCCAAGGAAGGGACCCAGCCCGGCCAGCTCTCGGGAAAGGAAACAACCCCCACCCTCCCCGCCTGCATCCACCAGCTGGAGCCAGCCCGGCTGTGCCCAACTGCAGGGCGTTTGTCCTGAGCCAGAGCACCTGGCAGCTCACAGCCCCTTCTCGCCAGGCCCCCGCAGCCCTCTGCCCCCCACCCCAAATACTACATGTAATAACTCAGCCATCTGAGTGGTAGCCGCCTCCAGGCCAGGGCGCCCTCTGACGCCCAGGTGCATCATCGTGGCACGCACCTGCAGACAGGCAAGCCAACCCTACCCGAGTCTGTTCGGAGCCGAGCGCTTGGCAGGGAGCCCGCCCGCCTGCAGGGAGACGCCCCAGCTCTGCCAGGGCCCCTCAGTAGCAATTGTAGTGGGGCCTGTTGTAGGGGGGCCCAGAACTCCACCTCACTGGCTGCCGCCTCATTATGAAGCCGTGGGAGCGCCCACCGTGGCCTCTCCTGGTCGGGCTCCGAGGGTGCGGAGGGAAGCTGGGTCCTGGGTTTCCTGAGAAGCCAGGGAAGGGCCCCGGGCCCGGAAGAGCGTGCGGTGCGCCCCAGGAAGCTTGAAAGCGGCTGGCAGGACCTAGGGCGAGAAGCAGGGTGTTGGGGGGCGAGACGAGTCAATCCAGCAGGGTCTGGACAGGAACCAGGGGGGTGGGGGAGGACTCAGGGATCTGCATGAGGCCAATTCTCCAGAGCAATGGGCACCCAGATACACAGCCGCCCTCCTGTGCCCCCCCACCACCCACCCACACACTGCCAGCAGCCACCGGCCCTCACACCGCCTGGACAGCTGGGCACCGGCAGCTTATTTGAACAGTGACACCAGCTCTGTGCCTTTAACAAATCTAACCCCCATTCCGCAGTCAAGTGTCCGGTGATGGGGCTCAGCCTGTCCCCGCGCCCGGGCCCCTCAGAGCAACGCCCCGCTGCAGCAAACCCTGACCAAATCGTCCCAGCAGCAGGGATCACACGCGCAGGACGATCGTCCATGCTCCAGAAGCCGCCAGACTTAGGGTTCGGCTGCAGGTCTCCCAGGGCTTCACCGGCTGAAGCTGGGGCTGAAATGCAGCCAGCTCCTGGGTGCAGCACGGCGGGTGTTTGACGCCGTGGAACGAGGGCTCGGACTGGCCAGAAAGGCTGCAGAACAAACACGGCTCGAGGGGGCAGGGGTCAGAAGAGGTAGTTACTCTTTCGGAGTTGGGCCAGGAGCCCAGGACAATTCTTGAAACCAGGTACGGGAGGTAATGTCCTTAATTGGACCAACTTCTGGTGGGGAGAGAGAGGAGCGTTGGACCTACACAGACAGGTCTGGGCCAGGTGCACAGAGGGTGGGACAGATTGGTTAAGGTCAGTAGTTAACATGTTTCAAGATGAAGTGGCCTGTTAACACCTCTCCTTCATGGGGGCAAGGGGTGTGTGGGGGGTGGGGAATAAGAGAGGGAAGAAAACAAAAAGAGAGAGAGGAGAGAGGCTGGGGACAGGTATTAATACCTGGTGGCATGGGCCCCCCCTTACATGCTAATTGCACTTCCTCCTCTCTCCATTGTGGAATATCAGAGCTAATTTTGATTCGGGGGGGGGAGGGATAGCTCAGGGGTTTGCACATTGGCCTGCTAAACCCAGGATTGTGAGTTCAATCCTTGAGGGGGCCATTTAGGGATCTGGGGCAAAAATTGGGGATTGGTCCTGCTTTGAGCAGGGGGTGGGACTAGGTGACCTCCTGAGGTCCCTTCCCACCCTGGTATTCTGTGATTCTATGAAAAAGGTGGGGGAGGGAGTAGCCGGGGGAGGGGTTAGGGCATTAACCCTCCCTCCCCCACCCATGACTGGCAGGGTCTTCGCAGGACACTTCATTTCCAGTGGTGCCTGGAAAGCTGTTAACTATCTCTGCTAAACAGCCGCGGAGGCTCGGAGTCCGTCCACACAGGGGATTATACCCGCTCAGGCTGGGGGCTGGAAAATGGCTGTATAGACAACAGGGCCAATCTCTGCGACCCTGCAAGTGGGGAGGGTCCCAAGCCCAGCCTCCAGCCTGAGCCCTGCAAGCCGCAGTCAGCTGACCCAGACCGGCGGCAAACACGCCCTCTGAGCCCCCGGCCCAGACCGGAGGAGCAGCTCTGCGTAGGTCGAACGCTTGTCTCTACCCCCCCAGAAGCTGGTCCAAAGACAGACATTCCTTCCCACCCTGCAGCTCCCACTCCTGTAAGACGCCGACGTGTCCCTTTCACATCTCGGCAGCCCCTGCACTGCACTGGGTACAGCAGCCCCCTACTGAATCCCCTGGGGTACCCGTCCCCCAGGCAGGACTGGAGGATCTCTGGGTCAGCGGCCCGGCTCAGCCAGGCTCCGAGCCAGCCGCTCTGGCGCAGGGTTATTCAGACAGCGGCACAGGGCCTGGCTCCAACACTCTCCCCGTCGGAGCCGCTCTGAGGGAGCCCGGGGACCCGCGCAGGAGAGGAACGAGCGCGACACCGAGGTCTCAGGAGATGCTGCCCACCTGCCCGGTCCCTGGGCCGCTGACCGCGGAGAGACTCCTCTCCTCCATCGAGCCACGCAGCAGAGGGAGCAGTCGGGGAGAGGGGAAGGGGCCGGCAGGGACCAGGACACAGTCCGGAGCAGGCAGGGAGAAGACCGAAGGCTCACAGGTGAGCGTGAGAAGCAGCACAGGGCAGGAAGGCGGAGGCAGACCCGCGAAGACGAGGAGCAGGAGAGCGGCCAGGGCAGGGATACAGGGTCACAGCCGTAAAGAACATGGGAACGGCCCCATCGGATCAGACTCACGGCCCAGCCCAGGTAGCCAGTGACCAGCTGCTTCACAGGAAGGTACAAGAAATCCCAGAAGGCCCAACTGGGGGCATTTCCTCCCAGGTCTGGGAGCGTCAGGGCTGGCTTGGACCCCAAGCAGGAGGATTTAGACCCCCTCTCTAATCCTCTGGAGCGTAACTGCAGCGATTCTGTACGTCCCAGGTCCAGTCACCTCTGGAATGCTACTAAGCTGTTGGCCTGAGTCACGTCACGTGGCAGAGAGTCCCACAGATCAGTCACTGTCTATTTTGTTGAGTGTCCTCCTGGTCCTAGGGTTTGGCTGCCGCAGGGCGGGAGGGAAGCCACGCCAGAGCCAGGAAGGCTGCACCGGACGGGCGATGAAGGAGTAGGGCATGGAGAGGCAAGAGCAGTGGGAAAAGTCACAGAGGAGACAGGCGGAGCGGAGCAGCGACCTCCAGAGGCAGCAGCAGAGAGAGGTGTCCAGGCCAGACCGAACAGGAGTGGGGCGAGAGATTGAGGCAGGAAGTCGTGAGTGCCACGGGCCCCCGCAAGTGAGAATCCGCCAGGGCCAGGTGCACCAAGGGGGGTGTGGCAGGAGCGTGGGACCGAGGACCTACCCTCCGCACTGAATCCGGGGCAGTTGTCGAAGCTGATGTATCCGGAGAGGGGCGCGCCAGGCCCCGCGTCGCTGGGGAGGAAGGGGGAGTCTTCCTGGAAAATGGGGTCCTCGGAGGGGCAGCAGAAGTCAAAGGGGGGCCGGGGAGCCGGAGGGGGCAGCGGGCAGGCGCTGGGCGGGGGCATCCAGGACAGGCAGCTGCTGTCCCACTCGGGCCCTGCAGAGTCAGAGACGTGACCGAGCGCGGACCCTGGGGAGGTCCCGGGCAAAAGGGTTGAGAGCCTTGGACGAGGGCTCCCGTCTGGGGGGCCGCGGGGGGAGAAGGGTCAGAAGGAGCCATTTGAGACCAGGGCCAGGCTCGGGTCGGCTCATTCCCCCCAGACTGGTAGCACCGGCAGCTCCGAGAGCAGGGCCCCGTGACGGCGCTCCCGGGGCTCCGAGCCCCTCGGCCCCCCACAGCCCCCGGGGGGCAGCGGCCCCTGGAGACTGCATCCCGGGGCCGTGCAATGCGTTGGCCGCATGCGCCCCCCGCTGGCTCTTGGCAGCAGCGACCTACACGGGCACTGTTCCCAAAGCCCCCCTGGCACGACCTGGGTGCTGTGGGTGGCAGTAGGGAGCTGGGGGCGGGGGGCTGAGGAGAAGAGCTGGGGGCTACCACCATGCCCCCCCCCCACCGCCCCGGCAGGGGCCTCGTCAGCGTCAGTCACGCCGGGGCCTGGCCGGGCTCGGCTGGCTGGCTGGCGCCCCAGGGCACGGCCACGGGCACACACTGACGAGCGCGGGGAAGGTGCCCACCCCCCCCTCGGCAGCACTACGCTCAGCCAGCTCCCCTTGGGGGGGCCACAGGGCTGTCGGCCACAGGAGAGAGGCGGCCAAAGCCTGGCTGAGGAGGGGGCTGGGAGCCGGCAACAGGCCACCCCCTAAGTGGACGGGGGTCCCTTCCCCAGCCGCCCCCCCCGCGTGGTTGCCCAACCTAAGGAGGTGCCCACAGCCCCTGCCCACCACCAAGATCTTTACCCCAGGGGCAGGGCGGAGCAGCGTGGGGCGCCGGGCAGGGGGTGGGCTGCGAGCCCCACTCCAGAGCATTTGCCTGAAAGCAACCTGAAGAAAGGGAAAAGCAGATCCATCAGCAGCGCGGCCAGCTCCCACCCCCCGTCTCCCACCCCCTCTTGCTGCAGCATGCCCACCCCCACTCCCTCCTCCCCACGCCCACCCTCACCCCCTCCCGTCGCTGCACATCCGCCCCCCCACCCCCCTGCCACAGCACGTCCACCCCCCTCACACTCCCAGCCCCCGCAGCGGCACCCACCCCGCATCTCCCACCTCCTCTTGCTGCAGCGCTCCCACCCCCGCCCCCTCCCACCCCCGCAGCGGCACCCCCCCGTCTCCCCCCCACATCTCTCTCCCCCCTTGCTCCAGCATGTCCACCCCCTCCCCCCCATCTCCCACCCCCCGCAGGGGCACCCCCCCCCCATCTCCCAGCCCCTCTTGCGACATCCCCCGCTCCCCCACTCGCCGTCCTGGGGTCTCTTCTCCGGGATCTCGACCCCCCAGGCGTCGGCCACGTGGGCCAGCAGCAGCTGGCTGATCCTGCGGTGGACAGCCTGGCTCCAGTGGACGCCGTCCCCCCGGCGGTGGTGCGCCTCGAAGCGGAAGTAGTAATGCAGGTCCAGCACGTCGAAGTGGTGGCTGCTGGCCAGGACGGCCCCGTAGAAGTTGCCCTCGATCACATTGTGGGGCACCTTCCTGCCTCGGCGCTGCAGCTGGAGGCAGAGAAAGGAGCCACTGGGCCAGGCCAGCGGGGCTCCCGCAGACGGGGAGGGCCACGCTCCAGGGACCCGGCCCACGAGAACACCTCGCTCCTGGGGATGGTACAAGACAGCAGGACGGCCTGGCAGATACAGCCGTGCCTGGGGGTGCAGGACCTCTTTGCCAGTAGCTGCAGGCAGGGGCAGGGAGTGCTAGGGCCCAGCCCAGAGCTACCACCCCTTTCCAGCCTGCTGCCTAGCAAGGGGGGCAGCCCAGCTGGGGGCTTTTCCTGCCTGGGCCTGTTTAGGTTTAACCCCTTGAGTCCTCGGCACTCGCCTGTCCGTGCAGGCTGAGGCTCGGGAATGCAGGAAGAAGAGAATGCTGATCAGAGCAGGCTGTTTTCTGCAGCAGGGCCAGGTAGCCAGTGGCGAGGAGAATGGGAAAAGTTAATGGTAGCTTAGGTACAAGTGATCATGACTTGATCACATTTATAAGGTGCAAACAGAATAAAGTCCAGGCCAGTAACATATCTTTGGTGGCTGAATAGGGCCAATTTCAGCTAAAACAAACATGAGGCATATCAGCTGAGAGGAAGAATTTAATCAGGAGAATGTGAATGATCACTGGGGGAATTGTTTAAGAATTAGATGTCCCAAAAGCCACAATCAAGAAAGAAGTATGTGCTGGTTAAAAAACTGACCTGGGTTTAGAGTGGAAGTGAAGACAGCTAGAAAACAAAATTAAAAAAGAATACGTACAAATGGAAGAAAAGGGAAATTGATAATAATGAACATAAATCAAAAGATAGGAATTGTAGAAAATTGATAAGGGAAGCCAAGGGACACAATGCGAACTCTATGGCCAGCAGAGTTAAGAAGAGTAAAAAGGAGTTTCTTAAATATTAAGAACAAAAAGAATTTTAACAATAGTATTGGTCCATTATTAGATGGAAATGGTGTTATGCAGAAATAATGCAGAAAAGGCAAACATGTTCAATAAACATTTCTATTCTGTATGGGGGGGCAGGGAAACAGATGATATAAAGTTAGACATTTTAAAATCAGCAGGTACAGATAACTTGCATCCAAGAGTTTTAAAAGGAGCTGACTGAGGCACTTGCTGATCCGTTAATATTGATTTTTAGTGAGTCTTGGCATACTGGGGAAGTTCCAAAAGAAACCTAATGTTGTGCCAGTGTGTAAAAAGGTGACCAGGATGACCCAAGTAACTATAGGCCTGTCAGTCTGACATCGATCCCAGGTAAGATAAGGGAGCAGCTGACATGGGACTTGATTAATAGAGAATTAAAAGAAGATAATGCAATTAATGCGACTCAACATAGGATCTATTTTCCTTTAGCCTATCAGACTAACTTGATCTCTTTGAGGAGATACCAAGTTTCAGTAATAGAGTTGATATAATATACTTAGAATTCTCCAGAATGTTTGATTTCATACTGCACAAAATTGTGATTAAAAAATTAGAATAATATAAAATGAACATGGCACACATGAAATGGATTAAAAACTGGCTAACTGATAGGTCTCAAAGTGTAATTGTAAATAGGGAATCCTCATCCCTGTGGGATCGGTTCTTGGCCCTACTCTATTAACATTTTTATCAATGATCTGAAAGAAACCAAAATCTTCATCGAGAAAGTTTGCAGCTAGCACAACAACTGGGGGCCTGGGGAATAACGCCGAGGACAGGTCACTGATCCAGAGCAATCTGCTTCACATAGTCAACTGGGCACAAGCAAACAATGTGTGTTTTAATATGGCTAAATGTAAACGTGTACATCTAGGAGCAAAGAACGCACGCCGTACGTACAGGACAGGGGATTCGACCCAGTGACTCCGAAAAACACTTGGGGGCTAATCAGCGGAATAGGAGCTCCCCGTGCGACGCTGGGGCCAAAGAGCTAATGTGATCGTGGGATGCATGAACAGAGGAATCTCAAGTAGGAATCGAGAGGTGATTTTCCCTCTGTATTTGGCACTGGGGCGACCATTGCTGGGATCCCTGTGTCCAGTTCTGGTGCCCACAATTCAGGACAGATATTGATAAATTGGTCAGAGAAGAGCCAGGAGAATGATTAAAAAGTTAGAAAACCTAGGCTCAGCGTGGGGGGAAGTGGGGGAATTTCTCTGGCCTGTGCCAGACAGGCCAGACTAGATGATCTAACATCCCTTCTACCCTTAAGCTCCATGAACCTCTGGCTCAGAGATTTCAGAGTAGGAAATCAGTGAGAGCTGATGAGGCCTGTTTCCATCAGCTCCCGTCGTGTCAGCAGAGGCCCAGCCAGTACGAGGCACGGCAAGGCCAGGCTGACGGGAACCCCTCACCCCCCACAGCAGCTAGGCAGCCTGCAGCTCTCGGCCGCAGGAGGCAGAGGGTTAACTTTGGAGCTGTGACTAGGGTTTCAGACAAGGCCTGTCCCAGGAGGGTGCCCTGCGGGGTGTGCCCGCGTGGGCTGGAGAGCGGTGCAGCCGGGGGTACCAGCCCTGGTAGCTGGCCCTGCCCCTGGGCTCAGCACTTTATCCCAGTCCCAGCCGCACATCCCCCAGAGCACCCTCAGCGAGCAGCACCGGGGTCCGGGGCGAAGCTGCAGTTCACGTTACCTCTGGGGTGAGGAAGCCCCCGATGATTTTGTGGCCCACGGGCATCGTCATGTTCCACACCAGGAGGCAGGCATGGGGCAGCACCTTGTCCAGGCGGTTAAAGGCCTTCTCCAGATTCACCCGGTACTGCTTCATGGACTTGGGGCCGTACCTGCAGGGCAGCAGAGCAGACAGAAGTCATGGCCCTCGGGACTGACACGGGGTCGGATCCATCTGGCCCCCACGAGGAGCAGCACTGGGCAAAGGCAGGAGCCTGTCGGCCAGCCGCTCTGCAGAAACGGCTCTATGGGCGAGGCTGGCCAGGCAGGCGTTTCTGCACCGAGATGCCACCATCGGCCAGGGGCAGGGAGGGGAGGTTGCCCCACCATCCCCCAGCGTGGGACATGGAGTTTGCGGGGCAAGAGGGAAGCTGGGGGCCTGCTCGCTGTCTGTGCCCCTCTGAGACCCGCTCCCCCAGCTGTGAGACACCTCACCACCCCCGAGTAGAGCCCCGCGAGTGGCACCCACGAGGTGCTCAGACACCATGGGCACGGGCCAACAGCCAGAGCAGAATGCATATGCAGGACCGAGCTCCCTCCTCTTGGGCAGGTGGCAGGTCGGCAGCCCCGTCACTAGCCGAGCCAACGCCCTCCTGGCTCGCTCACCGGGCTTGCCCAGATCTCTCAGACTGGACTGGACTAAGTAATGCTGCTGGCTGTACATGCACAAGAGGGACAGAGCCCGGCTGGCCCCACGGAGTGAAAAGCGGGAACGTCTGTGTCCATGGGGCAGGCTCCCACAACACAGGGGGTCTTAGTGAACCAGCTGCCGTGTGCCTACATGCCCAGCACTGCCCTTGGCTGGACGGACTCGGAACCGCTGATTTGTGTCTCACGGGCCCTGTACTGCCAGCAGAGAGTCTCCTTTAGCTGCCCTGGCCGGGCTGTGGCAGCCGGAGGGGCTCAGTTCTCTCCCTGAGGGTGCTGTGCAGCCCCATGTGACCTCGCAGAGGCCCGAGTTCTCCTGCCAGGGCGGGGGTAGCACCGGGTACCTGCTCACGTCCCACAAGCAGGAGTTGATGATGACGACGTCGGGCTGCGGCCCAGCCTGGAAGTCGGCCAGGATGCTCTCCATGTAGTCGGAGTAGACACGGGTGACGAAGTAGAAGCGCACCAGGTGATGGTCCGTGCGGTACTGCCGCACCTCCTTGTAGTGGGTGCCGTTGGTCAGCTCACCCAACATGCCGCCTTCCACCAGGCAGTCGTTCTCAAAGCTCAGCTCCCCCTGGCGGAGACGGGACGCAGAGGCCCTCAGCCCGCCTGTCGCCCGCACCGAGAGCCCTGCGCCCATACCAGATGGACAGCCACGGCGAAGCAGCCGCGTGTCGGGCCGCCGCTCGCGGGAGCCAGCGCTCTCCGGCATGGCCGTGCCACCCCCAGCCCTGCCCACGGGGATGGGCACCAGGCTCACCAGCAGCTGTCCCTGGTCACACTAGTGTGTGCAAGTCGGGGTGTGCAAGCCGGGACAGCAGCTGGTGAGCCAGGGGCCGGCCCCAGGGGACGGGGCTGGGGGCGGTACAGCCATGCAGGAGGAGCTGCCCGCTCAGGGCGCTGGCTCCTGCGAGCGGCTGCCCGACGTGCTGCTCCAGTTCCCGGTACAGCCCTGCAGCTCCACGGACACCCACATCTGCGGATACAAATCCTGTGTGTGCGCAGGGCTCTACCCCCAGGGGAGTGATGCCCTCTCGTGCCCACTGCCGGGTCGTCCTCTGCCCTCCCATCCCCAAGAACTGCGCCCAGCCACGGCCTGCAGCCTTCCCGTGAGCTGGGGAGTGACCCGAGGCCTCTTCTGGGCACAGAGGAGCGGAGCTGGCCCAGGGCACACAGCAAGCCAGGGCAAGGGCTGGGGTTGGATCCCAGAGCCCCAGCTCCAGGCCAGTGCTGGTCTACCACAAGGCCTTGCCTCCCCCTGGACCCAAATGACAACACTAGGGCCTGTAGGTGCGTGCCCTTCCGGCCCCTCCCAATAGCCGAGCCCCACCCCAGGCTAGGTAGCTCCCGGCCCCTTCTCAAGGCCCCACCCCAGCACCGCGGGACATCACCACTTTTACCCTCCCTCTGGACGGCTGCAGGGGCTGAGCACCAGCCGGGGGAGCGCAGTGGGACGATGCTATTCCCAACACCAGCCAGCAGGGGGCACTCACGTGGCAAGACATCCCCCCATTCTACACGTGAACCACTACACGTGAACCACGGAGGGGGGGTGCGCCAGGCCCAGGACTGTTCTGCTTCTTCGGTTACATCTGAGTTTCAAAGCCTCCCACCGGAAACAAGAAACCCTCCTCCCCCGTCAAGCAACACTATTGCTAGACGACACAGCTGGCTCAGACCCAACAAGCTCTAGCTGCTTCCTCCTTCGCTGAGCCGGACCCGGAGCCAGGACCGCGCAGTCTGCAGGCCTTTGGGAGGGCACCGGCTTAGAGCCAGAGAACATCAGGGTCGGCAGGGACCTCAGGAGGTTCTAGTCCAACCCCTGCTCAAAGCAGGACCAACCCCAGCTAAATCATCCCAGCCAGGGCTTTGTCAAGCCGGACCTTAAAAACCTCTAAGGAAGGAGGCTTGTCTGGCTACTGGCCACCAGGCAACCAGATTAGTTTTCTCCACTTCTCTTTATGCAGCAGCAGCCACCCAAACTGGTTGTCTCAGCTGTGCCCACAGAGGGGGAGCACACACCAGAGCTGACTGCACCAGAAGCGACGGCTGTCGGGGGCGCAAGGCCCAGCAGGGGGCACCCAAGGGCACGGACCCCGGATTGGAGAAGCGCCCCAGCGACATGGCGGCTGCGTGTGGTTTAGTTCCCCAGCCCTGTGGGACAGAGGCTGGCTGCTCCGGATCCGCAGGCTCAGTACCTTGGCTTTCAGCTGGGACTGGCTGAGGAGAGCATCCTTCTGCAAAAGCAACACCAGGTCCTTGTAAACCGATCGCTGGACTGCAAAGGGAAAATGGAGACAGAGGTAGCCCGGGGTCGCCCGTCTTTGGGGGAGCAACATCTTCGCCTCTTGGGCGCTAACGCAAGGACCAGCCCCGGGTCTCGTTCGGGGCGGGGTGGAAGAGGCCCTTGCTCAGAATGGGACGTGTCTGTGCCGGCCAGGCGCGCTTGGTGGGCTGCGGCTGGGGGGGGCAGATGTCAGGAACGAGACGACATGCCAGCTGCCGTGCTGGGGGTGGGCAGGGCGGTCGTGCTGCACGGACTCTGGGGGGGGGTGCAAGGGCAGCGCTGCGTAGCGGAGACACGGGTCCAGCTCACCCAGCGTAGGGAACACCCTCCCTCCCCAGGCCAGCTTCAGTTACGGAGTGGGGCCAGAACGACAGGGCACCCAGAGGGAAGTCAGAGAAATCCACTCTGCCCACTGCAGGGCTCAAACTCCCTGCCCCCCCCCCAGGGGGCGAGTTCAGAGGCCTGGCTGCCCTTCGCCTTTCCCCAGCCAGTCCTGCCGCGGAAGGGGGTTACCCCACGCAGCCGCTCTGTCTGCGCAAGCCAGGGCAAACCCACGGTTGCTGGCAAGGCAGAGAGCCCCGCTGGGGCTGCAGGGAGCTTGCAGCCCGGCACGCAGGAAAACCCACTTTGGACGTGGAGCCAAAGACAACTTGGCTCTACCGTGGCCGAGAGGGGTCGAGGGAACCCACCCCCCGTGCTGGGGGGCTCCGGCGTCCCTTCGGCTGACTCACTGGAATCCCCCACGACCACCACGAACTTGTTGTGCAGGAGCTGCCGGACTTCGTGCGTGACGAAAGTGACCATGGCTCGGCAGGCGGCCGCTCCCCAGCAAGCAGAGCCCTGCTCAGCGAAGGAGAGAGACGAGACTGAGGCCTGCATCCTCCTCCACCCACGCTGGGAGCGGCCTCCGCACCCCCTGGAAAACTCCCACAGGCTGCCCGCGCATAGGCTGCCCGCGCACTGCCCCCGCCGCCAGGAGGGCAGCACAGGGAGGCCAGACACAGAGCTGTCAGCCAGGATCAGGGGCAGTGTCAACAGCAGCTGTTGGGCTCGTGGTTTGTGTGACTATGACGTGTTTTCAGGTCACGTTTCCCCCAAACCCTTTGTACTTCTGCTAAGAGAAAAATGTCTGGACCATCCTCCCAGCATGCTTTGCACTTGGGCCCAGCAAGCCGGTAAGCTGTGGGGACCCCTCTTCCTGGTACCCGGTCAGGGACAAGGTCAGTGTCACGTGAAGGCTTCGCAAACTGCATGCTGGGCTACGGTGCAGCATGCCACGGCTGGATAGGACACAATGGCAGAGCAACAGGGTAAAATATTTGGTCCTGTCGAAGCCTGGCCCCCATACACCCGGTACCAAGGGAGAGCGAGCACACGACGCCTCTTCGTTTGGCAGACTTGTGGAAAACGTCATTCAAAACAAGAGAAGAAACTGTCAAGAACAGGTACGGCAATCGTAGGTTCCCTCGTGAACGTTGTAAAAACTGGGGCATGAGGAAAGAAGTCAGCCCATCGGTTCAGAGCGGCTTCGAGCTGCTCTGTGCTGGTCTAGCTTTGTCGCCAGTTCGTTAATCCAAACTGAACACTAACAGAGCCACACAAAGCAAGTTCTCGAGGGACTCTCAGGCCCTGGGCACTGACCCAGCGAGGACGGACAGACCCTCTCTGCCTGGAGTGCTGAGGCCGCTGCTCCTGCATCCCGGGGGCTTCTTGCCGGGTGGGAGGCAGGGCGGAGACCAGGGGAACCCAGGCAGTGGATTCGGAGTCAGACTCTGCTTTGTGCCCTGCACTGAGACACGCTGCGTAGCGTGGGACACCCCCTGGCACTGGGGCAAAGGATGAACAAGGCGCAGAGTCAGGGTGAATGGGGCCTTTAATTACCCAGCTGCCCTGCTTGTTTTCCACTGGCTCCTCCACCCATTCCGGGACGGCCCATTAAAGCCCAGCCCCTTAGACACCCTCTGGCCTGGGGTCGGGTGTTGGCAGCAGCCACCTCAAAGCTTGCCATGGCCCAGCGTTCCCACCTCTGCACCATGGAGCACTGGGCCGGACGTCCAGATATTGAACCACGCAGACCCTGCCCGGCGCCGACCCGGCCCTGCCCCTGGAAGGCTGATGGGAAAGAAGGAGCTTTTCAGCTCCGCTTCGGCCTTGCGGCTGTTCCAGGGAGAGCCGTGAAGCGGGCAGGGGGCAGAGGAGCGGGGCTGTGCCCCTTCTGGCTCCTTTAGCCTGGAGCGAAGGCCCAGCTGGAGTCTCTGGTTTATACGGCAATGCCAGAGAGAAATCCGGGCTCCAGCGTGCCAGGTGCTGTACAAAGAGGCAGGCCTGGCCCCCAGGAACTCCCGGTCTGAGCAAAGGGAGAGCATGAGGGACTGCTCTGCAGATGAGAGCTGAGGGAGGGTCAAGGTCCCAGGGGAGTCTGTGGACACGCTGGGAACTCCCTGACTGGAACGGACTATGCTGCCAACAGGCCCATAACTGCGTCGAGCCTGAGCTTTGCCAGCACAGCTCCAGCGTTTCTCTCTCCCACCTCCCCCCACGTTCCTAGCAGACATCGCTGGGCCAGCGAAACCACTGCCCTGCAGCCCAGGCCCACCCGCCAAGGCCATCCTCCCCCTCGGCAGGACTTGTTTTGTTCCTGGGCGGGATTTTAACATTAAACCAGCCTGCCCCGCTTTTACGGGCGAGGTTACAGGACACCGACCCACCTGTGAATCCCAATCAAGTAGGGGAAGGGGGGTGGGATTCAGGCTGTTAACACCCATGTGGCTCACATGCTGCAGACCCTTGGGAAGGGTTCACTGCCCCCGCCCCCCCCCCCCCCCGAGTTCCTCTCTGCAGACTCTACTCCCGCTCTTTCCACTCCGTTTGTGCTACGTCGGTTAGGGACGCGCTCACCTATGGGTATCGTTACACCAGTGCCTTGCACTGCTGAAAGGTCCTTACACTAGTGTGGCTTGTTCCCTTTCCCATCTGGGAATAAGTACACGGGTAAAAGCCCTTTTATACTGGCAGGACTGCCTCAGAGCTAGGGGGCTGGGCCGCTTGAACTGGGCTGGGAGAGGTGGAGCCACTTCCGCAGACAAGCGCCAAGGTATGAAAAACAGAACAGGGGCAAAAAAAATGTTCACACCTTTTCAGCTTCTCTCCATCACCAAGACACAAAGCACACGGCCCAGGGTGAAATACTGGCCTACAACAGTCCCAGGGCAAAACTCACTGGGGCCCAGCTTTCTCCCACAGTATTTTTCCTTTGTAGGTTTAATTTAGCAAAAGTTTGGGATGCTGCACTTGTACCTGCCTTCCCCACCACCACCGCCTTTCCCCCTTGGGTTAGACAGGGCCCTAACTGGGCACTTCTGAGAGACTGATTTCAATTTCTGGGAGAGAAAAGCTAAGAACTATGTTATTGCAACATTAAATCTGAGTGAGGAAACACAAGCGTTCGGGTTCCTACAGTAATACTAACTAGACTGCATTGTAGCCCTACGTGTGGGTTTAAGTTACTCTTGGCCCACCCCAGGGCGGGGGTCTACACTGCAGTGGTCTGGGTAGGGTCAGCCACCAGATCAGCTACAGGAGAGAGGCTAGCAGGACACCACCCTGCCCTTTCTTTAACCATTATTTTTATTAGCTAACCAGGCAAATGCCCACCCCCCCTCCCAGCAGGGCACAGAGAAATAATGACACATGAGCAGCACTTGCATTACTTACAGCATTCCCCATCCCAGACAGTTCCTAGGTGGTTGTCAGTAGGTTGATCACACTTTTCCTGGCTAGGCATATTCATGTGTCTTGGCCCCTTTTCCTTATCTAAGCTTCCACACTCATATCTCTGGGGGGGGTCACCACACTGTTAATTGGTTACCTATTTACCTCATTAGCTTTTGTCAATTAGTTGCCATGATATTTCTATAGTATCCCCGCTGTTGACACCTGTACATTTTGGTTATACGTATTCCTTACACTCATCCTCAACTGCTAATAGTGGCTAGCCGTCACATTCAGCCCCCAACTGAAAACCCTCTCCAGCACATCATCAAGGATCACAACCTATCCTGAAAAATGATCCCTCCCACTCACAGATCTTGGGAGACAGGCCAGTCCTCACCTACAGACAGCCCCCCAACATGAAGCAAATATTTTCCAGCAACCACACACCACACCACAGAAACACCAACCCAGGAACCTATCCTTGCCACAAAGCCCGTTGCCAACTTTGCCCACATATCTATTCAGGGGACACCATCATAAGGCCTAATCACATCAGCCACACTATCAGAGGCTCGTTCACCTGCACATCCACCAATGTGATCTATGCCATCATGTGCCAGCAATGCCCCTCTGCCATGTACATTGGCCAAACCGGACAGTCTCTTTGCAAAAGAATCAATGGACACAAATCTGTCATCAGGAACCATAACATTCAAAAACCAGTAGGAGAACACTTCAACCTCTCTGGCCACTCAGTAACAGATTTAAAGGTGGCAATTTTGCAACAGAAAAGCTTCAAAAACAGACTCTCAAGGAGAAACTGCTGAGCTTGAATTAATCTGCAAACGAGATCCCATTAACTTGGGTTTGAAGAGAGACTGGGAGTGACTGGGTCATTCCACATATTGAATCTATTTCCCCATGTTAAGTATCCTCCCACCTTCTGGTCAACTGTCTGAATGGGCCATCTTGATGATCACGACAAAAGGGTTTTTTTTCCTCCTGCTGATAATAGCTCATCTTAACTAATTAGGTTTCAGAGGAACAGCCGTGTTAGTCTGTATTCGCAAAAAGAAAAGGAGTACTTGTGGCACCTTAGAGACTAACCAATTTATTTGAGCATGAGCTTTCGTGAGCTACAGCTCACTTCATCAGATGTTTACCGTGGAAACTGCAGCAGACTTTATATACACACAGAGAATATGAAACAATACCTCCTCCCACCCCACTGTCCTGCTGGTAATAGCTTATCTAAAATGATCAACAGGTGGGCCATTTCCAGCACAAATCCAGGTTTTCTCACCCTCCACCCCCCCACACAAATTCACTCTCCTGCTGGTGCTAGCCCATCCAAAGTGACAACTCTTTACATAATCAAGTCGGGCTATTTCCTGCATAGATCCAGGTTCTCTCACTTCCCCCCACCCCCATACGCACACAAACTCACTCTCCTGCTGGTAATAGCTCATCTAAACTGACCACTCTCCAAGTTTAAATCCAAGTTAAACCAGAACATCGGGGGGGGATCTGGTTTAACTTGGATTTAAACTTGGAGAGTGGTCAGTTTAGATGAGCTATTACCAGCAGGAGAGTGAGTTTGTGTGTGTATGGGGGTGGGGGGGATGTGACAAAACCTTGATCTATGCAGGAAATAGCCCGACTTGATTATGTAAAGAGTTGTCACTTTGGATGGGCTAGCACCAGCAGGAGAGTGAATTTGTGTGGGGGGGTGGAGGGTGAGAAAACCTGGATTTGTGCTGGAAATGGCCCACCTGTTGATCACTTTAGATAAGCTATTACCAGCAGGACAGTGGGGTGGGAGGAGGTATTGTTTCATATTCTCTGTGTGTATATAAAGTCTGCTGCAGTTTCCACGGTATACATCTGATGAAGTGAGCTGTAGCTCACGAAAGCTCATGCTCAAATAAATTGGTTAGTCTCTAAGGTGCCACAAGTACTCCTTTTCTTAACTAATTAGCCTCTTACTCCACCTTTTCCTGTTCTCTGTATGTGTATAATCTTCTTACTGCATGTTCCACTCTATGCGTCCGATGAAGTGGGCTCTAGTCCACGAAAGCTCCTGCTCAAAGAAATGTGTTAGTCTCTAAGATGCCACAAAAAGAACAGGAGGACTCATGGCACCTTAAAGACTAAACACCTTTATTTGAGCACGAGCTTTCGTGGGCTCCAGCTCTCCTGTTCTTTTTGCGGATACAAACTAACACAGCTGCTACTCTGAACCCTTTACTTGTGGTTTCAAACTTCCTATCAGTCAACTCTCTTATGACTAGTCTCCAAGGTGCCACAAGTACTCCTCTCTTTTTTCTTTGCTTAATTTGTGGCTTCCTGTCACCCGCCCATCAGTTCCTCATGCCAAACTAATCCTAAATCCTAATTAGTTATGCTCAGCAAACTACCTTGTAGAACATAAGAACGGCCATACAGGGCCAGACCAAAGGTCCATCTAGCCCAGTGTCCTGTCTTCTGATTGTGGCCAATGCCAGGTGCTTCAGAGGGAATGAATAGAACAGGGAATCATCTCGTGATCCATCCCCTGTCATCTATGTGTCTTGGGATCTGTCCTTGCATTACAGCATGAACCAACCTTATAAGGAAGACTACACCATCATATACAGACAGCATCTTCTATTCCTCTTTATTTGGCTGCATAGCTCCTGCTTACTGTGAAATGCCCGAGTATATTCAAAGACATGCCCATGAACTTGTCCATTGCAGGACTGAGCTTTCAATTGCAATACTAAGAGCTTTGCACAGGGTTGCGTTAAATGAGACAGAAGCCCTCTCCTACTCTCCACCACCATGGCTATCGCTGGCTCGGCCAGAGCTTTCGGAGACCGTACTCCTAGCGTAGACAGGGCTAAACCAAGGGCAAGTGTTTCCATTAGCTTAAAAGCCACAATTGTGACACAACGGCTACCTTTAGGTCTCCCTGCCTCCTGGCAAGGGGCATGGGGGCTCATCCCAGCAGGAAGAGGGTTTGGTGCCTTAGTTTTTTAAGCCCGTCTCTGAACTGGCACCAAAGCAGGGAGGAGCCCCCCCAGGCCTGCACTTGGCTCTCTCGCTTTCCTTCAGACCCTTCACCCAGCCAGTCACTCACTGCCAGGAAGTGCCCACCCAAGAGTCACTCCTGTGACCAGCTGTGAAAATATCTGGAAGTGAAGCAATTACCTCCAGTGCGCCCACGTTCCCGAGCAAGCGGCCTGGGTGCCAGGACAGGGCTCTGGCCTTTTGCTAGTAGTTACAGAGCAGCCACAAGCAAGCAGTGTCGGTCTCCAGCAGGTGGCCAATCACATGGGGCTATTCAGGGATTAAAGGGGCATCAGTCAGAAAAACAAATCCCATCTCTACCTGCCGCTGCTGCCAAGGTCCCCAGGCAGGAGGCCTGGGCTCAGAGGTAACAGACTAACTCCCCCAGCGCTCGCCCTGGCCCTGCTGAAGGAGGATTCAGGCCCGTGGGAGCCCTACCATGGCCAGGGCTGGAAGAGGTGAGAGGCAAACACGCGGGTCCCCGCCCGACGGAGCTCTTTCATTTGCTGCGTGCGGGCTGTGCGGGTCCCTCTCACGCAGCAGCAGAGGGAGGGTGAAGCGTTGTCCGTGTCCAAAACCGGCAGCTGCGGGTGGGCGAGGAGGGGGAGCTAATCTCTCGGGGTTGGGGGGCTGACTCCCTCCAGCGGGGTCCCTTTAACCCCACCTGCGACGGCCGCCTGCTGTGAGCGGAGGGGCAGCGCCTGGAAAACACCCCCTGGGAGCTGGGCGTCGAGCAAGACCGAGCCCTTCGACAGCCAGCGCCGGCAACGCCGCCGGCCGGGCGCTGGCAGGGGCCCGCGGGGCGATCCCCCAGCGCGGGCAGGCAGCCGCCCTGCGCCGCGCCGGGAGCCTCCCCTCCGCGCCTGCGGCCACCCGGGCCCCTGCCGCAGCCGGACCGTTCAGCCCCAGACCCGAACCACCCCCCCGCAGCCAGCAAAGCCGGGGGGGCCGGGAAGAGGCTGAGCGGACCAGGCGACTCCCCCCGCCCGAGCCGAGGGACGCGCAGGCTGCGAGTTCCAGCCGCCCGGGACCGGGAGCCCGCCGCAGCCCCACGGGTTCGAGCCGCGTTACCCCGGATCCACACCAGCCCGGGGGGGTCATGCCCGTGTTCACCCCCCATTGCACAAGGGTGACCGGGGGCGCTGCCGCCCGGAGCCCGCGCGCTTGTCCCCGTACCTGCCCCCGGCGCCGAGCCCGCCTGCCCGCGGGGCGCACGGCCGGGCAGCGAGCCCGGCTGTCCCGCGTCCCGCTCGGCTGCCTGCGCCTGGCCCGGCTCGCCCCCTTCGCACTCCGCTTTCCTGCCAGCGCCCCGCCCCGGGGGTGCGGGGCCGGCCGCGCAGCTGGGCGCTGGGGGCGGGGGGGGGGGCAGAGGCTGCCGCTGCAGAGGAGAAGGCTCTGGGGACAGCAGCAGTGCGGAGCGTGGGGGGCTGCTGATGGGGGGAGCAGAGGTCAGCTGGAGCGAGACACACACCCCCTCCCCGGAAAGTCTGAGCCCACACTGGAGCATTTAATTTCAGAAAGGGGAACTACACAACCCTGCAGGCTGTGTGGAAGCTTTAGAAACACCATAATAGAAGCTCAGCTTAAATGTATACCCCCATTTAAAAACGTAAGAGCGGCCAGAGTGGGTCAGACCAAGGGTCCATCCAGCCCAGTGTCATCTACCGACAGTGGCCACTGCCAGGTGCCCCAGAGGGAGTGAACCTAACAGTGATCTCTCTCCTGCCATCCAGCTCCACACTCTGACAAACAGCGGCTAGGGACACCCTTCCTTACCCATCCTGGCTAATAGCCATTAATGGACTTAACCTCCATGAATTTATCCAGCTCTCTTTTAAACCCTGTTATAGTCCAGGCCTTCACAACCTCCTCAGGCAAGGAGTTCCACAGGTTGACTGTGTGCTGAGTGAAGAAGAACTTCCTTTGATTTGTTTTAAACCTGCTGCCCATTCATTTCATTTGGTAGCCCCTCGTTCTTATCTTATGGGAACAAGTCAATAACTTTCCCTTATTCACTTTCTCCACACCACTCATGATTTTATAGACCTCTATCCTATTCCCCCTTAGTCTCCTCTTTTCCAAGCTGAAAAGTTCTAGCCTCTTTAATCTCTTCTCATATGGGACCCGTTCAAACCCCTAATCATTTTAGTTGCCCTTCTCTGAACCTTTTCTAATGCCAGTATATCTTTTTTGAGATGGGGGGACCACATCTGTACCCAGTATTCAAGCTGTGGTTGTACCATGAATTTATATAAGGGCAATAAGATATTCTCCGTCTTATTCTCTATCCCTTTTTTAATGATTCCTAACATCCCCTTTGCTTTTTTGACTGCCGCTGCACACTGCATGGACGTCTTCAGAGAACTCTCCACCATGACTCCAAGATCTTTCTCCTGATTTGTTGTAGCTAAATTAGCCCCCATCATATTGTATGTATAGTTGGGGGTATTTTTTCCAATGTGCATTACTTTACATTTATCCATATTACATTTCATTTGCCATTTTGTTGCCCAATCGCTTAGTTTTGTGAGATCCTTTTGAAGTTCTTCACAGTCTGCTTTGGTCTTAACTATCTTGAGCAGTTTAGTATCGTCTGCAAACTTTGCCACCTCACTGTTTACCCCTTTCTCCAGATCATTTATGAATAAGTTGAATAGGATTGGTCCTAGGACTGACCCTTGGGGACCACCACTAGTTATCCCTCTCCATTCTGCAAATTTGCCATTTATTTCTACCCTTTGTTCTTTCTCTTTTAACCCGTTCTCAATCCATGAAAGGATCTTCCCTCTTATCCCGTGACAACTTAAGTTACGTAAGAGCCTTTGGTGAGGGACCTTGTCAAAGGCTTTCTGGAAATCTATGTCCACGGGATCCCCCTAGTCCACATGTTTGTTGACCCCCTCAAAGAACTCTAATGGATCAGTAAGACATGATCTCCCTTTACAGAAACCATGTTGACTTTTGCCCAACAATTTATGTTCTTCTATGTGTCTGACAATTTTATTCTTTACGATTGTTTCAACTAATTTGCCCGGTACGGACGTTAGACTTACCGGTCTGTAATTGCCAGGATCACCTCTAGAGCTCTTCTTGAATATTGGCATTACATTAGCTATCCTCCAGTCATTGGGTTCAGAAGCTGATTTAAAGGACAGGTTACAAACCATAGTTAATAGTTCCGCAATTTCACATTTGAGTTCTTTCAGAACTCTTGGGTGAATGCCATCTGAGCCTGGTGACTTGTTCCTGTTAAGTTTATCAATTAATTCCAAAGCCTTCTCTAATGACACTTCAATCTAACCAAAAAAGAGCCACCGTGGTTAAACAACAGTAAAAGAAGTAGTGAGAGGCAAAAAGGCATCCTTTAAAAAAGTGGATAGCAGGGGTGCTGAGAGCCATTGAACCCAACTGTAAACCCTGTATGTGATGGAAACCACTTCCAGCCAGAGGATGTGGCAAGGCCCTAGATCCGACCCCCATGCACTGGCCCCCACTGTGCCAGCCTTCTCGCAGGGAGATGCAGCCGTTCCCGCCCCCCTCCCCCCCCGCCCCACTGCTTATATAAGAACATAAGAATGGCCAGACTGGGTCAGACCAAAGGTCCATCTAGTCCAGGATCCTGCCTTCCGACAGTGGCCAATGCCAGGTGCCCCAAAGGGAATGAACAGACAGGTTATCATCATATGATCCATTCCCTGTCACCATTCCCAGCTTCTGGCAGACAGAGGCTAGGGACACCATCCCTGCCCATCCTGGCTAATAGCCATTGATGGACCTATTCTCTATGAACTTATCCTCCAGGAATCTATCTAGCTCCCTATTGAACCCCGTTATAGTCTTGGCCTTCACAGCACCCCCTGGCAAGGAGTTCCAGAGGTTGACAGTGCATTGCGTGAAAAAATACTTTCTTGTGTGTGTTTTAAACCTGCTGCCTATTAAGTTCATTTGGTGGCCCCTTGTTCTTGTGTTATGAGAAGGAGTAAATAACACTTCCTTATCTACTTTCTCTACAGTTCTGGGGCTATTAGCCATGAGCCCAGTTGACCCAGAGATGAGCCGCCACCAGACTATCTGCCTTAGCAAACAAAATCACTTAATCAAAAGCACCCTGCTATGCAGAAAGGGGTATAAATTCTCTCCCTCCCCCTGCTCCTATTGTTTGTGAGATACATGGAGTGGAGAAAGCCTTATCAGAGCTTTCAGTGCTGGTTAGCTGGGAAGCAGAGAGAATTCAAGGCCATCCAAAAATAAATCCAGATAGGACACGCTAGGTCTGGGGTAGTGTAGATTCACAGTAAGCGCACAAGCTGGCAGGAGACAACACACACGTTATACTGTTTTGACCAGGGTCCCCACTGTTGGGGAACAATTATCAAGGCCCTAAAATAAAGCACCCCTCAAAATGCAACAGGTAAACTTACTAACAAGATTTATTTTACTAATTTACAAGTGTGATGCTAGAACTTTGAGTAAAAATCCCCTGAAAATCCATGTTTGAAAGAGATAAGAAATGTTGGCATTAAAGGATCAGCGTGTTCCCCATAACTTCCCCAGTCAAATAAAACTGAGTTCTGATAACACAGACACCGAATGAGGATATTGAACTATAAAGATTGTTGATCTGAATTTTATGGGTTAGTTGTTTTGGCTCGCCACTATCGCATCCGACCAGAAGATCTGTAGGTTCTTGTCCAATTCAGACTACAGGGTCTGAGAACTCGGAGAGTTCTATAGTGGGAGAGGACTCTCGGGGTGCTTGGCAAAAACACTTACACTGAGGACAACACCAAATTGATAAAAGCTTTATTGAGATTAACAAAAGAAAAATAGGCTTCAGAGTAGCAGCCGTGTTAGTGTGTATTCACAAAAAGAAAAGGAGGACTTGTGGCACCTTAGAGACTAACCAGTTTATTTAAGCATAAGCTTTCGTGAGCATCCGATGAAGTGAGCTGTAGCTCACGAAAGCTTATGCTTAAATAAACTGGTTAGTCTCTAAGGTGCCACAAGTCCTCCTGTTCTTTTTTTAAAAATAATAAAATAATAAATTCTATGACACTTATGACTGCAAAACAGTAAAGGAATTCCTGGTGGTAACATTCCTATTATAAGTACCTTCACCTAACATACTCACACCCTTCTTTGAGGACCCTGTAATAGGAGGTGAAGGACCAGCCTTACTCCTGGCAAGCCCGATAACACGATGGAGCTGGCTTCCCCAGTGGTTCGGAATGCTGAGTAGTTTAACTATACCGCACAAGCTGAGCGGATACCGTGATGGAAGATAGAATAGATAGTCTATAGAATCTAGGGGAACAAAGGAAAGAAAGAGCTACAAGAAAAAGCCCTCCCAACTTTTTCCGTACAAGGTATTTTATAGGATCCTGACGTGCTGTCATTCAGGCCCAACCTACTGTACCCAAATCTTGTTTCTGTACCCTACGAAATGTATGGGTCCCCTTCTCCGATAGGCTAGTGGATTATGACACTTACTCTCTACATATTAATAAGGATTATCTCAAGCCCAAAACTGCCCCCCTAGGCTCTCTTGGCAACTTCCAGGTTTGTGGCGTGCCCTGCGGTTACCAACCGGTTGCAGATGCCGGAGAAACCTGTCCAGTGTCGTGTGTAGTTTCTCCCTTCAGTTCCCCAAAGTTCAGGGACCATTCCTATCTGTGCCAAAGGTTGCCAGCTTTTATGCTGACTTACCCTTAACGGATCAGACTTTTAGCTATTTAGTGGATCATACCAGATACAGGCCCATAGGCTTCTTGCATTTCAGCAAAACTTATTCTATGTATAATTATTGGGAAACACATCATATGCCTCAACACATCCTAATTTCATAGGAATTAATACTGATAAAATATAAGAATCCTATATGATTAGGATTAAATCAGAAAGAGAAACAGATTATTTGATAATCCGCTGATTGGCGGATTATAATTATTTGATAAGCCGCTGATTGGCTTCAGGTGTCCCAATCAACCTAGCTTTCTCCCTGCCTTCTTGAAAGTTCTTAATTGGATCCAGGAGTCTTAATTGACCTGGAGCAGCTGCTATTTCACTTATATTAGCTCCATGCTAAACAAATCCCTGGTACCAAGATATCTATCTCCCACTACTTTTCTATAGCCATCTGGCCTTGCCCCGTCACACCTCTATCATATCCCCCCTTAGTTGCCTCTTTTCAAAACTGAAAAGTTCCAGTTTTTTTTAATCTCTCATCATACAGAAGCCGTTCCAGACCCCTAATAATTTTTGTTGCCCTTTTCTGAACCTTTTCCAAT